GAATTTAAATGTCATTAATTTTGTTTTACATATTTTACAAATATAGTTATTAGCATTTATTTCAAAATGCATCTATATAAAGTATTTTATTTTGTGATATTTGATTTAGTAGATTGTTAAATATTGATTTTATCTTTATTATTTTCATTATCTCATATAATTATCATCTTGAATAACTGTATTGATATTATATTTTACATATAAAAATTATAAAAATAATAAAAAAATTTATTTTAGTTAAAATATAAAAAAAAAAGAAATTTATTACTTTTCAATAATAAAAAATTATATCATAATATTATTATTTACCATTGTTATTATCCATTTTGACTAATAATTTTTGGTAAGTGTTTGTATTTTCTAACAAAAAGATGCTTTAAATTCTATTAAATAAATTTAATTTAACGAAAATAGATTAATTAATATCACAAAATAAAAAAATTTTAACTTATACAAGTTACTGTATTATAATAAAATTAAATACAAATAAAAAGCTATAATTTGGTATAATATTATTAAAATAAATAAATTCTTAAAAAATTAGAATTAAATAATAATAAAAAACTAAAAATAAAACAATAAAATAATCGCAATTATAAAGTAATATATAGTTTTAATATATAAAATCTAGACTTTGTATAATAAAGAATTATTTTTATTAAATTTTATTTTAAATATACAGTAATACCAAAAGTATCGAATCATCTGAATACAAATTTTAAAATAGCATTATTTTGTGATTAAGAAAGTATGACATTACCAAAATTATTTATTAGACTCATCATAATGAGTCTATTCAATGATATAAAAATCATTAATATGATAAAAAATTTCAAATATTTGATTTTGATTATTTAAGAGAATCTTTTTTTTTGTATAATTTTTTTTGTTTAAATTTTTATGTAAATAAAAAAAATAAAAAATAATCCAATTGCATTAAAACTTTAGTAAATAATTATTTATCATTTTGTATAACTACTATTAGTTTTAATTATATCATTTATATGAGTTGATATAGTATTAGCCAACTTTTTGCATACATTAGATCCAATTCAACCCAAATTTTTTGAATTGTATCTCATAACTGATTCTGTATTCTAACAGGTATTTTAAGCTATTTTAGATGATAATACATTTTATTTCAAAGGTGTTATTTTAGGTTTAAGTTAAGAGACTATGCTGTCACTCAAGAACTTTAATCCTATTATTTTCAAATTATTGCTTAATAAAGTTTGTAATATTTAGAATAATTATCTTATTAAAAGATAATATTATCTTTATTCATTTTATGCTACTGAATGGCTCTTAAAAGTCTTCTTTTAAAATTTGATGATATAAATCACTATTTATATGTCCATAAATTCAGCATATATTATCAACCTTAATAAAAGTAAAGTATTTATACTCAATAATATTATTTATTCAAATTTGACTGTCAGTTTAATATAATGATTGCATAATAGTTTATTTGGTATTTATAATAATATTCGACTCATAAATCATGAATTTTAACTTGTTTGACTAGATAATTTTATTCTAATTCTTTGCTTTTCATATTATGTATTTTTAGCAAATTTCATATGTATATTCTATGCTTTTTATGAAGGTATAGCTTTTATGCTTAACTTTTGCACTCATTTCATTTTTATATAAGATTCTCTTAATTATACATTCACTAACTTCAATTTGTTCTTCTATTTTAGTTTTTTTTGGATTGTAATAACATTAATATATTTACTAATTATAATTAGTCTTATAACTTTTTATTCATATCAGCTAACTAAATATCACAAGCGTTCAGATTTAAGCTGATCTTAGAATTATCAGTTTATCTTTATATTATTTAGTTCTTATTACAGTTGATTGGAAAATATTTTCTTTAGTTGCTATATAGTGAAAGGGATAACCTTCTTCAAATAAAATACAAATTCTAGTTCTTTTTTCAATAAATAAATAAACTATAGATTTTTATAAAATTATAAAGGGCAAAAAATACCCTTAAGAATCTTTTTTATATATACTACATGATTATTTTGAAGCATAAAAAAAATCATGATTAATTATTGATGTTTATTTCTTATATTGATTAAAATAATTGTTTCAATTTTACAAAGTTTTATAATAAAAGAAAAATTATTTTTATCTCTTAAAAAAAGATGAAGTAGATTAATAAATTATAAGGTGTGACTAAAGATAAGAACCATAATTAATATGTTGTAACTTTTAATGTTGCAATTTACGTTACAATTAGTTTTGACTTATATATGTTGTAACTTATAATGTTGCAACATATATTGCAACTAATTTTAGCTTATATTGCAATATGTTATAAATTTGAAATTAATTGTTACACCATCTTTAGGTGTAACAAACTCATTAATTAAAGTTTTATAATACTATACTTTTTTAATCATAAGATATTACTATTTAAAATTTATATTTAAGTAATACAATACTTTTGATTGCTACTATAAATGCTAAGGTTAATATATGAGAGCTTTGCTATTAAAAGTGGATTCTGAGACTATAAATTTATTTTGAGTAAATAATAATCAAAAAATAGTTATGCCACAATAAACATACTTGTCTAATAAAAAATTGCATTAAAAATATCAAAAATATATATATTAGATCGAATTAAATAATAAGGCGATACTATATAATAATAAAAGTTATTGATATATGTTGATTATTTATCGATCATTTTTAAATTTACATAAAAATCTAATTTTAAATTTTGAATAATGTTACATAAATTTTAAGTACTTTTGCCAACCTAATTGCTTGCTTTATTAATAAGCTAATAGCTTCAAAATATTTAACCAAATAAAGTTCATTTAGTATATTATAATATGAATCAAAAATTTTATTTTTTGTTGAAAAATTCTCAGAACCCATTTTTAATAGCAAAACTTCTATATCATCATATTGAAAAACTTACTTCACAGATTTATATATTTTTATTATAAAATTTTTTTGTAAATATATAATGATCAGTTTAGACCAATATGAAAAATATGGACTGATATAAAATTAAGTAAACTTAAGATAAAGTTCTGTTAAAAAAATAAATATAAATAACCTATAATAATTATTAAATTTATTTTATACTAAATTAATAAATATTTTACTATCATTATCAATCTTCTTTTCATTTTTTAATTTTGCAATTCATAAAAATACCAATAAGATCATCTTTCATTTTTAATTAATCAAGATTTCAAATGAAATAATGTTTATTCTTTCATATGCAAAGCTATTTTATGTGTTGATACTGGATCATATTAAAAGTACTGCGTTATAAAGATCTGCAAAAATGTTAACATTCTCAACTTCGTTAACATTCTTAACTTTATTAACATTATCAATATTTTTATATTTAACATAGTTTTATTATTTATAATAGTTGGATTATATATTATATGTATTAATTATTTTATTGTTATTAATTATTTATTTTATAATAACATTATATATAGATTTTCTAATAATTGTATTTTTGTATAAATAAGATAATGTAAAGCTCAAATGAAAGAACAACTTAGAGTGTGAGTTCAAGAACTCAGGAAACGGGTTCAGGGTTTAGAATTCAAGCATAAAGAATTCTAAGAATACAAATTCTACAATAAAGGAATCTTTCATTCTACACAATAATCTATACAAAACCCTTAAATGTGTTTACTTATTATTAATTGTGATAAAAGTTGATCGTGATAAAACTTATTTCATAGTAATCTTAGATTAATTATACGTATTACTCCCTATTATCAAGTCATCGTTACCCTAAATTCAATGGTTAAGCATAGGGTTAACAAATTGGTGATTCCTACCAGGCCTAATATTTTATCTTTATATTAAAAAAAAAAGATATTAATTAAACAAATTAATTTTAAAATCATGGATTTGGAATATTTATTTGAAGAATAAAATTATTTTGCATATATAAGTAAAACAGAAAGTGATAGTTGGATCTCTAATACTCTTTTAATTGATATAATGCAATATGAAGATACTTCAATACTTTTTATTACAGAAGATGATAATGGAAATTTTTATTTACATGGGTATACTTTTTTAATGAATAACGAAGAAATATATTTTCTTTACAAATAAAAGAAGAAGAAATTCCTATGATACAACTAGGAAGGAATTGGACAAAATATATGTAACAGCTATTTATTAAAGTAAAAGGAAAAAGATTTATTCCTTGGCAAAAAAGAGATCAAAAATATTTATCAAAAGTTCAATGTCAAAGAAAAAGAAAAAGTATAAAATCACGTGATATGACTCGAGAAATGATGCCATCTGATGAAATATTAAAAAAGTAAACTATATTGTCTAAAAATGGAAATTACAAAAAAGATATCCTAACACCAAAAGAAACACTATTTCAAGAAAATCTAATTTGCTTTGAAGATGAAAAAGAAGAGAAAATTATGTTAATTGATTTGAATAAAAATAATAAATTAATATCTTCACTGCAACAAGAGATTTCTTCTGATAATTTTATGTTGGATGCTGAACAATTTCAAATGTCTTTCAATGATAAAAATAATTTTGAAATGAAATTGAAATGAAAACTTTTGATTACTTTTGTAAAGAAATATATAACTTGTATCAAGAAATGCCAATGGAAAATGATGTACTTGAATCTGCATTTACAAAAACTTATGAAGTTGAGGCAAATGATGATGATTTTCAACCAAAACAAATTTCAGAAGATATGCCTAATGTAGAATATATCTATGAAAAATTAGATTCATTAATTTCTAAAGTATTTAATGTATTTACTAATGAATGACTGGTGTAAGAAAAATCATTATTAATTTATTTACTGCAATAACTATCCCAAATAAATGAATTTGAATATTTTAACAATAAAACCAATTACCAGTCACTGCATTACTAAAAATTAAAATTAAATATAATGAATTGAAATAATTGTCCTGGAAGCGATTATCACGTGATCTACTGATCAGAATTTCATGAAACAAAGACCATCGTGTGCATTGAAATGCGCTCTTCAAAATATATGTGTTATATTATGAATGGACCACTAGATGTTGAGATAATCAAAAAAACGTGCTAAAAAGTATTTAATAGAAAATTTTGATAGAGATTTTCATTACTGCGTCACATATTGTGAAAGAAATTCTTAAAAATATTTTAGTAAAATAATAACAATATAGGATCACAAATTTACTAGAAGAATTTATTAAAGGGCAAAAGGCGATAATACACAAAACTTTATTAAAATATAAGAAAATTAATAAAAAAAAAACATATAGAGAAGACTATTTACTATAAAAGAAACAAAAAATAATAATCTGCTAAAAAGAGCTGAAACATATAGCATCCTCTCAAGCAAATATTAATAGTATTTAATCGTGAAAATAAACATTAAAAGAGACATTTATACTTAATCTTCACGAGGACGACAAAATCTCACATGAAATCCATACTCTATACTTCGATCGAGAAGTTGCTGTGTAATTAGCCGATACCGCCTATGAACTATTTCTAAAGTCTCTCATAATTCTTGAGTTCGTATAGTTCATGCTTGAGAATTTGTATGGAGTAAATCCCTTTCTTGCTGAACTTGAAGAAAATCTTGATTCAAAGTATTATAAGCTTCTTGGAGATCTTGGAACCTATTTTCAATTTGGGTCAAAAAAGTTGAAAGTTCCATTAGTAAATCACGTGCTTGATCAAATTCAATAAAAAAAGTTCCTGTTTATCCTAAGGAAGTTGCCAACTGTTCTTGTAAGGTCGAAACTTCTTCGTTACTCTCTTGATGACCTATATATATCAAATATATATAGAAAAGAAAAACATTAGTCTATGCACAATTCGACTAAATGAAACTAGTATAATGAACTCAGCCATTTCCAAAATGATAGTTGCAGTTCAGGAACAGTCCCAATACAATAATTGCAATTCAGGCATTTCACCAAATCCACCAGGTAGATCACCTTCATTACATATTTATTCTCTTCTTTCTCTTATACATTCTCTTTGACGATTTGACTAACCTCTTCTTTGAATTTGACGACGAGTATGAGTCATGATATTGAAAATGATATATTGACTGAAAAGAAAAGTGAGATAAATATTTATATTAATACAATGCTTATATTAACTCCATTCAATCTCTGGTTTTTCAGTTCTCAGAAAGTATCGGATGTATGGCGTCCCTTCAATACTTTAGTAAACTTGAAACATCACAATAACTTTAAGTATTATTCGTTAAATCTTCAATAGATAAAATATTTTATCAAAGAAAAATCAAAAACTTACAAAAGGAAAATAACAATAATTTTGGTAAGAGAAAAAATTTTTTTGAGAAAAAGGAGAGATTTGAAGAGGATTTTTATATTTGAAAAATTAGTATGGGAAAAATTTAAACGACGGGAAAATTTACTTTTGCAGAAAAATAAACAAAAGGATATTAGTATCTATTGGTTAATGACAATCAACAAACAAGAAATTTGTAGAACATGACTAAATCTTATTTATGGATCAATAAACAGGATGATCAAATAGAACAAAATAATTTGATTGGACAAAAATGATGTAATTATTTTAGAATTATTACAAAATGCAATATTCAAGCTTAATTTGGTATCTGTACATCCAAAAGTATAAGGAGAAAAATATTGCATGATCTTTAAGAACGAGATATTATGTATACAAATTCTTAATTTAGAAAAATATTGCAATATTTTACACAGCCTGCCTTAGAAAAGTTTTTTATTCTGCATAATCAGTCAATCAAGAAGTTAATTTTAGATTTGTATTCAAATTTAAAAGAATTTTCCTCATGGTTAATTACTAAAAATCAAATTTGTATAAACTTTCCTAATATAGAAAAATATGTAAAAGAAAAATCTCTTCATTATGTAATGGAAAGCAAAATCTATTGAACAAATTTATTATTCTACTCAAAAATTATAATTGAAGTTTACAGGAGCTGCAAATTTTAAAGGAGAAAAATTGATATCAGATCATATTAAAAGTACTGCATCATAAAGATCTGCAAAAATGTTAACATTCTCAACTTTGTTAACATTTTTAACTTTATTAACATTATCAACATTTTTATATTTAACATAGTTTTATTATTTATAATAGTTGGATTATATATTATATG